CTCTCTTCCTCAGGTCTGAAGCAATACTGATCAATCTGATAGAGGAGAACACTTAAAACAACTGATGTTATAGAAGGCGGAGTGAGAATGGGGTGTCATAAATAGCAGAAGATGTGCCTTAACGTGAAAGGTGCAGGTTGGCTGAGAATAGCCAGAAAAAGTAAATAAATAAGGAGCGTGAATAAGCTAGTTAAAAAAACAATTATAAAAAAACACGAAAACAGCAGAGCAGAGCATGCAAGTATATAGCTGCATATATGTATGTATATAAATTGATCCAATAAAGGTGAAGCGAGAATATTATAAAAGAATTATACAGGACATTAGGATATGGGTTTATATAAAGTTTTGGTAGTGTGTGAGAAAACCAGAATCTACATTAAGTCCTTCATTTCTGGTGTTGAAACGTGTGATCATTTTTTATCTCAAATGTCTTTCGTTCATGAGAGTCTTTGAAATTCCCTTTAAGAACTTTAATCCTGAGATTTTGGATGGAGTGACCAGTCTGGGTGAAGTGATGACCAACAGAGGTACAATATCAGTTTTCCTTGTGGTTCTTGATTGAGTCTCTGTGTAAATTCATTCTGAGATGCAGCTTAAGGCCAGTTTCTCCAATGTAGCAACCTTTGTCACACACTGTACACTGTATCATGTACACCACATTCGCGGATGTGCACGAACATGATCCCTTAATGTTGTATGATTTGTTATTGTGTCTGGCTGTGTTATTGCCACATATATGTTGGCACAGTTTGCAGAGTGATTTGTTGCATCATACAGTGCCATTCTGTGTGAGCTCCTGTTCTGTGGTCAATTTGCTGCGGACCAATCTCTTTCGGAAGTTAGGCGGTTGTTTGAATGCTAGTATAGGGGGTTCAGGAAATATTCTTTTGAGTGTGGAGTCCTCTGAAATTACTGGTTGTAGCTCTTTAATAATTTTACATCCTCTTTCTAGAGTTGGGTTGTAAGTAACTACTAGAGGTATTCTTTTTTTGTTTTCCTTTTCTTTGTATTTTAGGAGCCTCTCGTGGTGTTTTTAGGGCACATGTAATTTCTTTAGATCCTGATGAAAGTCCGCAACGGAGGACTAAACGTCGATGATTTATGACATTTTTTAATGACTCAATAAAGATTTGAAACTGAGAAGACTGTGATTGCAGCCACATTATCGGATATCTGGATGATAAAACCCAGGCTGAAAAGCACCCGGCAGTAAGGGATTATTAAGCCAGAAGTGCAAGAAAACATTTCTTTTTTATATATACATGATCATGCAAAACGTGTTTTATTGAAGGAAATTGATCATATGAAGCCATTTATTCTCACATAGTTGTTTGGCTCCTTTTTAAATCATAATGATAACAGAAATCACCCAAATGGCCCTGATCAAAAGTTTACATACCCTTGCATGTTTGGCCTTGTTACAGACACACAAGGTGACACACACAGGTTAAGATGACAACTAAAGGTTAATTTCCCACACAAGTAGCTTTTTAAATTGCAATTAGTGTCTGTGTATAAATAGTCAATGAGTTTGTTAGCTCTCACGTGGATGCACTGAGCAGGCTAGATACTGAGCCATGGGGAGCAGAAAAGAACTGCATAACAAGGTAATGGATTATAAAGATGGAAAAGGATATAAAATGATACCCAAAGCCTTGAAAATGCCAGTCAATAATGTTCAATCACTTATTAAGTAGTGAAAAATTCAGGAATCTATTGATACCATACCAAGGTCAGGTAGACCAAGAAAGATTTCAGCCACAACTGCCAGAAGAATTGTTTGGGATACAAAGAAAAACCCACAGGTAACCTCAGGAGAAATACAGGCTGCTCTGGAAAAAGATGGTTTGGTTGTTTCAAGGAACACAAAACGACAATACTTAAATCAATTATACAATACAAAAATCAGCTGCATGGTTGGGTTGCCAGAAAGAAGCCTTTACTGCGCCAATGCCACAAAAAAGCTTGGTAACAATATCCCCGACAACACCTTGACACGCCTCACAGCTTCTGGCACACTGTTATTTGGAGTGACAAGACCAAAATAGAGCCTTATGGTCACAACCATAAGCACCATGTTTGGAGAGGGGTCAACAAGGCCTAGAGTGAAAACAATATCACCGACAAGCAAGTTAATTAATTGTTTAAAAACAGCACCCACTACTTAGGGCAGTGGTGTATCCTGGTTTTGTGCTGCCCCAGGCAGGACAAAACTCAGGCGCCCCCCAACACCCCCGCTCGCGCGCGACCCCCACCCATCCCTTCCCCCCGCCTTATAAATACACACACACACACACACTCACTGACAGATACGCATACACTAGCTAACAGAAACACAAACACACTCACACACTAGCAGACACACACACACTCACTGGCAAACATACACACACAGTCAGACACACACACACAAACACACTCACTCACTAGCAGACACACACTAGCAGAAACACACTCACACTAACAGTCAGACACACACACACTCACTAACAGACACACTCACTAACAGACACACACACTCAATAACAGACACACTCACTCACAGACACACTCACTCACAGAAACTCACTAACAGACACACTCACTAACAGACACACTCACACAAACAGACACACTCACACACAAACAGACACACTAACAGACACACACACACTCACTCACTAACAGACACACACACACTCACTAACAGACACACTCACACACACACACTCACATTAACACATGTACTTTTTTAACACCCCCCCCTCCAGCCTCCTTACCTCTGGGAGTGCTGGGGAGGGAAGGGGTTCTCTATCTCCCTGGTGGTCCAGTGGCTGCTGGGTGGGCGGCATTGGTGGGCGGGCGGCTGGAGAGGGAGCTCTTCCTGTGAGCTGACTGCTCAGCTCCCTTGCGCGCCGCAGAGTGAGGCTGGGAGCCAGAATATGACGTCATCAACCCGGCTCCCAGTCTCACTCTGCGGCGCTCGAGGGAGCGGAGCAGTCAGCTCACAGGAAGAGCTCTCTCGTCAGCAGCCCGCCCGCCAATGCCGCCCAGCGCCCAGCATGTCTGTTAGCCGCAAGGCTAACAAGACATTTGCCCTGGGCATTTGGGGGGCGGCTTTTTTTGCCGCCCCCTGAAAAATGCCGCCCAAGGCAAATGCCTTGTTAGCCTCGCGGCTAAAACGCCCCTGACTTAGGGTACCAGGGCCGTCTTTAATATTGATTGGACCCTGGGCAAACATCTGTTTGGGCCCCCTGGGCATGCAATCACTCCCTCCACCCCAACCTAGAGGCGAAACTAATGTAGAGAGTGCCTTGGTGCAACAAAAAAAAAATTCAGGCCTGCCCTGTAGCACAAGAGTAAAGAAAAGATAGATCCCCATCTGTCATACAACTCCTGCGATGCTATGCCAGCTGGGGATCTACCATCCTTGCAGGGTTGTATTTTTGAGCAGTGTTTGTGCAAATGAATGTCAGCATGTTATTGTATAGAGTGTATGTGTGCATGTAGGAGTGTATTTGTATGTACTGTTACCATTGGAATGCAGTGGTGTACTTGTGTGTAGTGTTTGCATTTTAATGCAGGGATGTGTGATTGTTTGTAGTGTTGGCTTTTAAATGCAGGTGTACTTTTGTGTGTAGAGTTGGTGTTTGTATATAATTTTAGCGTTTTGATACAGGAATGTGTTTGCATGTAATGTTTGTATTTGCATGCAGGGGGGTGTTTGGATGTAGTGTTGTCTTTTAAATACATGTGTACATTTGTGTGTAATATTAGTGTTTCAGCAAACTGGTGTGTTTGTAATGTTTGTGTTTGCAGGGGTCTGTTTGCATGTTGTGTGATTTCTATAACACATATACACATACACATTAACACGCAGATACACACATGCTCACACTGACACATGCTCACACCTTGACACATACTGGCACATACACATACACACACACTCAGATACACACCCTTTGACACACAGATACAAGCACTTTGATATACACACACTGGCACATACACACACACACTGACACAGGTATATACACATGTTCTAGATAATTTACTGCAAACCAATTAGTTTGAATGACTATCTGTTCCTGTCCAAATTAAAGATAATAAAGTTGCGTGCACGCAGAAGTAAATTCACACTGAGACACAAGGTTCAGGGTAATGAAAGAACTTCAGAGAAGTTTAATGGCTTCTGCCAGAAAATGAGTGCGCAGACCCTTATAAAGGCATTATTACATCATTGAAGAAAATCAAGATATAGACAAATAGACATTGTTAATTGGCTTAGGTGCTAAGATGTTAGTAAAATGCCCTCCCCATTCTTAGGTCACTATCTACGTAATTTCTTAACTCCTACAGGTTTTAGCGCCATTTTGTTAAAATGAGGAGCTCACTCGACGGGAGGGGCCTTTTGGCAGCTATCCATTTGGAGCGTAGCTGGCACTTGTTAGTTTCTCAAGGTTAAGTTTCAAGGATTTTAGTAAATACACATTTTATCAAAGCTATTTCTTGCTGACATGCAAATTCTATGTTCTATAGACAAAGCTTCCTTGTAAAACTATGGGGGCCTCTTAGAGGTATAGCAAGAGGATTTAAAGGGGCCTTACAAATTTATAGAGGCCTAATAATTCTACAACAGTCCCCCCTAAAATGTTATTTGCTAAAAGACAAAACTTTATTTGTTAGTATCAGAAGAAGTATTAGCCCAAAGACACAGAAACCCCATGACCGCTGACTTAGTGTTAATGCAAAGTGCAAGTCTATCCCTCTCTTGACCCTAACAGGCTGCAGCACATCCGTCAGTACGGTTCAGGAACACTCTTCACTCCGCTGGTAACCCATAGTGGCTTATCCACTACTTCTCCGTACGGCAGTCTACCCATAAAGACGGACGCTGTCCCTGTACTGTCCCTTCCTAGACTTTCTGCACTTCATCAGTATAAGGGAGAGTTTGTAGCGGAATACAGGGTGAGATGAGGTCTTGATCATCGATTGTCAGATGAGTGAAGGTTGGTGTTGCTTGGTCTACAGTTTTCTGCAGGAATTTCCTTAGGCATGGGAGGACACAACAAATGAGAAGAGCGAGAATAAAAAGAAAAATTAGTAAGGCAATACCAATCTGGACTAAAGCTCTCTGCCAACCAGTCATCCAACCAAACCATTTTTCCCAGGGATCAGTAACTCCAGAGTTTCTCTTTAACTCCTCTGAGAGTCTATTTAATTTAGCTATGGCTAGAGTGACTTTACCATTAGGACCTGTGTTTTCTGGAATGTAAGTGCAACAAGTCATAGTGTCGGGAAGTATTTTACAGACTCCCCCTTTTTCGGCTAAGATCATGTCTAAGGCCAGTCTGTTCTGGAAGGTCATTTGGGTTGTGGCCTGTAATTGCTCGGCCAAGCCCTGGAGGGCATCCCTGGTGTAGTTCACGAAGCGCTGTTGGTTGTAATAGATATAATTAATCCAATTAAGGTTTTTGTTGGCAGTGACTATGGTAAAAAGTGATTCAAAACCTGCAGCTACTTCATCTCTAGCTTTAAATTCATTAGGTACCCCCCTAGGCACCCCAATGGCATCTATGTAAATGTGGGGGTCAAAACTGCCTTTTACTGGGGTTTCGCGCCTTACTCTGGCTGATGTATGTGGAGGGTCGTATGTGTCATGATGATTATCAGAAATAATATGAATGGGCATGATAACTTTGGCCAGGGTACACTCACCCCACCACTCAGTTTCCAGCCTAGATCTTAACTGTAGATCCCCACATAACCAGTAAATATCCCCCAATGACCTGGTATGGTGTTGCAACAGGCGTATAGGAACAGTTCTGTAAGTGGCGCAATAACCTTTAGAAAAGTTACCCATGAATTTACCAATCCCGTCATACATGGCATAACAAGTGTAATTACCTCTATAGACTGTGACTCCATCTGGTGGCTTAACATTTTCAACTAAGAGAGGGTATTCTGCCGTCCATGCCATGCAGAGGGACCTATTAAAGTCATATTGGTAGGCAAAAAGGCTTAAGAAGCAATCTTCTATCTCTAAAGGGAGAGTTAGGGGGACGGTGCCAAGGTGGGGTCGGGCACCGCCACATACATAACATGCTGTTTTATTATGTTTGTTAGCATTATACCTCATCCATTCTAACCACAAATTAATGTCATTGAATCCAGTTTCAGCGGCCATGGTATCTTCAAAAGTGGGGTTAGCGATGGCCATCATATCTTTAAAGGACTGGATATGTGGTTTTAGCGGATTTGGGACCATATGATCAGCCCCTTGCCACTCTGGAGAGTGGTACATATCTCTGAGGTAGAAATGACCTAATTTGTTGTAGGAACCTTTCTTCCAATACATTCCCATTACATATCGGTCTGCATCCTCGGGGCCAGGATGTTCAATATTTAACATTAATTTCATAGGGGTACTTCCTCCAGGCTTTCTTAAAGTCATTCTTTGAAGGAGGGATCTACCCTGATTGTCTATCTTAGATAAAGCACTTTTGGGTTTATAACCCCAGGCAGGCCCAGTATTCCATCCCGCAGCCCCCCAGTAGTTACAGTTATAACCCCATTGTTCATCTACTACACAAACGTAAGGGTCTTTTGCTTGTGGTATATCTTTATAAATGGCTTGAATCTGTGACTTAGGGAATGGGCACTCTACAATATCACAGTAATCAAAAGTGAATGTAGCCACATGGGTACATGATGAATTATACCAGAAAGTGTACCCACTAGCATCTTTGGTGATGGCCACCTGCTGGGCTTTAAGGAGGCCAACTAAGGAGATAATGTACCAGAGGCACATGGTTGCATAGAGTTAGCTTCCTCTGGGGCAGGTGTCTTCTTGCAGTGGGAAGCGTGGATCCAGTTAGGCCTTCCGGCCAATTTGACAGAGGTAGGGGAGATCAGGAGAACTTGGAACGGTCCGTCAAATCTTGGTTCCAGGGTGTGTTTTCGCACAAATTTCTTGACCAGAACCCAGTCACCGGGGAGCAGACTGTGGTTGCCTGTGTCAGAATCAGGATCTGGAATTGAAGAGAAAACTTGGGCATGGATTTTGTTCAAAGCATTTGCGAGTTCAGTTACATAATCTAATAAAACATCAGTTTGAAGTTGCAGTTGTTGGGGAAAATAGCAACCTAGCCTAGGTGCAGTCCCAAATAGAATCTCGTATGGGGACAATGAGGTAGTATTTTTGTACAAGAGCATTCATTAGATCTTTTGATAAATGTGCAGGTCTGTGTGCCCATTGTACGACTGCTGGGTACAAATTCTTAGGGAGGCAGAAATTGAGGTTGTTGGAGTACACTCCATCCTTCAGAACTGCCCCTTTCTGTTTCCACTTCTGTATTTCTTCAGGGGCAACTGTAGCCTGTTGTTCCAGCAGGATTTTCAGGTCAGTTGGAAGAGTCTGCAGAGTAAATATGGGAGTTTCTTCATTTCCGGACACTCTTCTTTCCACTTCCTGTGGTTCTTTTGCAGCTTGTTTTGCAGCCTGATCAGCTAGATGGTTGCCCTTTGCTTCATCTGAGTCCAACTTCCCATGTGCTTTTATCTTCAAAATAGCCACTTCTTCTGGGAGTAGGAGGGCGTCCATCAGCTCCTTGATCGCGGAACCGTGCTTGATTGGTGTACCGGCAGTGGTAAGAAATCCTCTTGTTTTCCAAATTAATCCGAAGTCGTGAGCCACGCCCAGTGCATATCTTGAATCCGTGTAGATATTGGCGCGCTTTCCTTCAGAGATCTTGCATGCTGAAGTCAGGGCTTGCAATTCAGCTTCTTGTGCAGACATAGTTGATGGTAAAGATGATGATTTGACAATTTCATCTGTTGTGGTTACGGCATATCCTGTATGGTATCTTCCTTCTTCATCAGCATATCTTGAGCCGTCCACAAACAGGGTGAGATCGGGATCTACCAATGGGTCTTCATGCACAGTTGGTAGATGTGTTGTTTCCATTTTCATCTGTTCAAAACAGTCATGAGGTGTATCTGGGTCGTAGTCATTCACTATGGTTAAATCTTGGAACTCATTCTCCAGGAAATGACGTGGCCATGCTTTTAGGTGGTCAGTTGTTGGATATTTGACAACACCATTTTCCTGTAGCTGTGATTCGTCCATAGTGGCCCATGCTTTTGCCATAGGCCCAAGATCATTCCATGATATTGTTTTCAACTTGGTCACAGGGACATGTGGAATGGCAGTGTCCCAATGACGGTACAAATGCTTGAGTTCCGGAGGTAGATGAATCAAGACCATACTGTTGCCTTCAGAATCACAGTAGAAGTCTTGTGCAGTGAGTTTTACTTCAACCAGCTTATAGAGTTCATCTTCATAGCAGGGTTCAGGAGTGATGTTTGGTTTGTACCACATGGTACAGAAGGCATGTCCTGCTCCGTCATGAAGGTGTGCTTGTCCATCATAAAAGGATAGGTTGGGATGCATTTCCTTCTTGATGGTGCCAGTGAGAAGAGAAACATAAATTTCGTCCATGATGAATCCGTAGTATACACCCCCCTCAGGGAGTGGCAGAAGGGTGGACGGATTGAGAACTTGACATCTTTGGAGGGTAATGTTGTCAGGCAACAAAAGATGACATTGAAGGCGAAGATGCCTGGCAGGAGTAACATGCTTAAGCTGGACCTGGTTGACTATGGCAGAAATGTCATGAGGGGCCAAGACAACCAGGGGTGGCCAAGGACAAGATCTCCAGTTCTTTCAATGAGCTCTCTGGCAGCAAAGACGGCCCGAAGGCAAGAGGGACGTCCTCTGGCCACAATATCCAGTTGGCAGGAGAAAAATCCAATAGGCCTTTGGCGGCCTCCAGGACCATGGGCCTGAGTGAGTACTCCTGTTGCATGGCCTTGTCTTTCAGAAACAAACAATTTGAAGGGTTTGGTATAGTCTGGTAGGCCAAGAGCAGGAGCAGAAGCAATAGCACGTTTGAGAGAACAGAAGTTGTCAAGGGCTTCTGTGGACAAGCAAAATGGGTCTGACTTGAGAGCATCATAAAGAGGTTGCATAAGGAGCGAGGCTTCTGGGATCCATGCTCGGCAATAGGAAATGAGGCCTAGGAAGGCGTGTAGTGACTTCGAGGTCCTTGGAGGTGGAATGTCCAGTACCGCTCTAACTCGGTCACGGGTAAGATGTCTGGTTCCCTGAGACAGACAATGGCCAAGGAAGATAACAGTAGGTTGGCAGAATTGCAGCTTGAGACGTGAAGCTTTACATCCTTGTTCTGCTAGGTAGCAAAGAATATTAAGTGAGCATTGTTCTGTTGTGGGTATATCATCTCCACAAAGCAGCAAATCATCCACATATTGAAACAGGACGACCTCAGGGTGGTCAGATTGCCATGGATCAAGGATAGAGCACATGGCCTTCGCAAATTGACTTGGTGAATTTTGTGCCCCTTGGGGCATGACAGTCCATGTGTACTGTTGTTTTTCATGTGTGAAAGCAAACAGATATTGGCAAGTTGGATCCAGGGGAACACTGAAGAAGGCATTGGCCAGATCAATGACAGTGAAGTACTTGGCAGAGGGTGGAACGCCGGAAAGGAGAGTGTGTGGGTTGGGCACTATTGGAGTGTCCAAAACTGTGGCTTCATTTACCGCTCTGAGGTCTTGGACCAATCTGTACTTTTCTGGTTCGCCTTTTGGAGTCTTTTTCTTTACTGGAAATAATGGAGTATTGCATGGTGATTCACATTTGACAAGAGCACCCTTCTCCAGGAGTGCTTGAATTTGAATTGTAATGGCTGCAGCTTGAGCTGGTTTCAAAGGATACTGTGATTTTCGTGGCAATTTTACGCCTGGGATGAGCTTTACCACCACAGGCGGGACCTTTAGATGGCCTATGTCCTCTGGGCCTGTGGACCACAGCTTCTTGGGAACATCAGTCTTTAGTGAATCAGGGAAATTAGTCCTTAGGTCTTTTGCATCCCCATGAGGCTCTTCTAGATGTAGCATCAGGGGTAAGGAGCACAAAGCTGAGGTGTCTGAGACAGATAGAGGGGTGGATAGTTCCACTTGTCCATCTGGAGTAAAGGTGATGGATGCCTGCAGGCGTGAAAGAACATCAGCTCCTAACAGGTTAATGGGGCATGTGGAAGATACCACAAAGCGAGCAAGCAAGTTGTGGCAGTTACCAACCCGCAGTGGGGTGGACAGGGGACTTTGCCTTGGAAGGCCGTCCACCCCAACACAGGAGACATCAATATTGGAAAGAAATGAGGTATCGGGCAGGTCTTGTTCTCTCAGAACACTTCGGGCTGCACCTGTGTCAACTAGGAAAGTGGTGGGCTGGCCCTCAATGGGTAAAATTACAGTAGAAATTACAGTAGCTATAAAATTACAGTAGAAATTACAGTAGCTAGAGGCCCCCCTTGTTCCCCTGAAGACACTGCCATGGCAGGGGCATTAAGCATCAGCGGGTTTGCTCTCCTCAGTATGGGCTGTGTTACTGACTCAAACCCCTTTCTATGTCATTAGCCATAGCTTTTTGCAGTCTGAACATGTCTATCATTATAAATAATGGTTAATAGTAAGTGAAGTGAAGTTCCTATATGTCTTTGGATAAAACATTAACTATTGCGGTACTATCATTTATATTAAATAGACTATAACAATTATACCACCCTGTAACTAAAATAAACAACCAGTAGTGCTGGGTTAATAAAACATGTCACTAATCCTTCTAATGCTAAACCATCATTTAAAGTAAAGGATGTTACTGTAAACATAAGATCTGTAACTAGCAAGATTCGATTAAGTAAAGATACAATGTTTAAAATAACTTGCATTATTTGGCTATTTCCCTTATTGCAAGATGAAGCTGGATAATCAGCTGTTATGCTCTTATATTCGTGTCCAACAGATTTCATATGTAGGTCACACCACAGTTGCAAATTACATTTTAGCAACCTTCTTTTTTTTTATATCACGGACAAATTGCTGATACAGGGAAACAAATGGCATGATTGTTTTAGTAATTATAATGTTTCTGTTCATAATATGTAGAGTGTAAGGAAAACAACATAATAGGGGTAGGCCTCATGATGGAGGCAGCCATGACAGGGGCGGGGAAGGAAATGACAGCAAGGGAGGAAGTGAGAGGGGTGACGTCCATGATATGTGTGGGAAAGGAAGACAGGAGGTGTGGGCATGGTAAGGGCGGAAGTGACGTCACTTTAGAAGCAACCGTGACTGTAGATAGGTCACAGGGATCTGGGTGGTGGCTGACGCACTTTCAACAATACACTATATTATAACTATTAAAATAAGTCAGAGAAGCAACATTCTGTTCTGCAAAATGAAATACTAAACTATGAACAGACCTGGCAGGTTGAATAAGACAGTTGAGAACATTATGCATTTAACAGCCCATACAGCTGTTTCTAGAAACATGTACTTTAAAATAATAAAATGATGCAAAATAAACTCACGGAATTCAACCAATTTCCCTTATTATCCTCTAGCCATTAATCACTTTCCTCCTCTTATACTGACTTAACAACATCGCATATTCCCTCTATCAGTGTTAACAGGCTACACCTTCCTAAATCCCGTATTCAACACTGAATGCAATCTTGTGAGCCCGTCACTCCCACAATCCTCAGTACCTTATACTCAAAACATAATTTATAAATATATAGCACTACGGAATCTGTTGACGCCATCTAAATGGCAACAATAATAATATTATTACACAATTATAACTCCATAACCTGCCTGACAACGTCTGTGTATGGAACAATGTACACAATACTACACAATTAGAATATTTTCCAGCAAAATTCCCGTCTTTAATTCTTATCAGTAGAAATGCAGGCAAGCGGGGAGGAAAGGGGGGGAGAAAGTTAGACAGTGCAAAAAAGGGAGAGACTGCAGGCATGAAGATTAACCATGTGAGTGCTGTAAAGTAACAAGACAGAAGGACAGAGACTTATACGTTTGGAAACCAGAAATCTTTGACGGGAGAAACGGACTGGAGGTGCAGGGAGCTGCAGAGAGAGGATGAGGGTGACGAGATCTGTAGGACTGATGGGGGGGGGGAGAATAGGGATCCATCAGCATCCAGTAACACAATTATTATAATACACAAACAAACTTAAACCTTTGTGATCAATATCTTCCTCAACCTATCCCTTTTGCTGAATAGCTCTTGCTACTCGGTATCAGGCTTCTGCTGTACAAACCAAATCTTGGTCCGACAGCTTCTCTTTCTTCTCTGTCAGTAACTTACGCCAGCTCTCTGGCTACAATCTGCCACACAGAGGTACGGTAATTCCACATACTTTAGCAATCTTACTCACTTTCTTAACCATCTCTTCTCCTTCTCTGTCTTCCACTAGATCACATGCTAACCAACCCTTACTGGGTTTATCTAACTTCTGTCCCATCCTCCCTATACAAGGCGTCCCAGATATAGAGAGAGAAAGGAACAGAACGTCTACCGTGCTCGACTGCTACTTTAAGAGCAAGCTCTTTAAGTACGTCTTCCCAAAACGTAGACTAGTCACTGATTCCGCCTACCCGTGGTAGCCGCGGATTGGAGCGTGGCGAGAAGTGTGTGACCAATCACTTCTCTCAACAGAGAAAGAGAAATAGGAGGGGAAAGTGTAAATAGTACAGTGAGTAAGATAGAAGTAAACACAGGAATCTGTGTGACAGACAATTAAGACAATAACATTTCAGTGTAAATACAGTGAATGCATCACAGTTCAAATAAGTTTTTATCCCTTGCCTTTACTCGTGTGGCCAAAAG